AATCTTCGAGTCAACAATTGGTGTTTTGGTTTTTTCGTCCGTTATAACTAAGCGTTTCTGAAAAACTTCAAGGAACAGCGTGAGCCCGAGCGTAGCGAGAGCTGGGCATTAACGGTTTACGAGACGTGGTGGACATCAAATGTTTGCGATTTATACAGATGTTAGGTTGATCCATTCGCTGTTCAGAATGAAGATTAACATTCTTTCAGGAGTAATATCGTGATTTATTTTTATATCCTTTATTCTTCGACCTTGCGCTTTTGTTATTTTTGTTTACAGACTGGCGTAACATTTATGGATTCTTTTGTCGCGAATCTGTTTTCTGGTTTTTCTCGTTGGTTATGTCACTTTGTTTCTGAATATCTTCCAAGGAAAGGGTAATGTCAAGTGTAGTTTGACTAGGACATTCACATGGATAATACGCCATGCTTATACATTTCTAGCCACATTTACTATGTAGGAGAGTATACTGTTGTTGATAATCTTAAGGTTAGAACCTGAGTTTATTTTCTGATCAGTAAGTAAATTATATCCAGCTTCGAGCTGTAAACTCTTCTATTCATTTCGCCACTGGCATAGAACGTAGTCTTCCGTTTCGTCTAGTTCCTCTCAGCCTGCATCTATATACTGCTAGTAATTCCTGTCAGTAGCACACGCTACATTTTTACTGTTCACTAACATTGAAATAAAACACAAACGGAGAGCTTAGGACGAAGGCGGTTATGATCGTCACTTTCCAGAATGACGCACCGTAAAAATATTTATAATAAATTTCGATCCATTCTGTCTGTGTTATAATTTGATTAGAGTTGACTTTTGATTGGATGAATGTTGTCCAACTAGCTACGTTATTGTTTCATATATGTAACTTAGATGTTGATCCTCTCAGGTCGCCTCTATTCTTAGTTTGTCGTGCAAATGGATTCCCTTGTTTGCGTTCTTCTTGCAATCATTCATCGGCTTCTAGCTAACCTTTCGTAAATTTGCAGCTGAACCAAGCTGGTCTGTGTAATTTAAAATGAAAGGGTAAGAGATGTGAACTCATCTGAAACCGAAAACAAGTATCAAGTTTGGAACTTGACATGGTACCTACTATATTCATTTATGGGTTATATATTGGGCGAAAGAATTGAAGGAAATCAAGACAGAGAGTGCTTGATTGAGTTAACACCGGAAGACATACCACTTTACAAATTTCAGGACTTGCATTCGCCCTCGGGAAATTTTTCTTAAGTTTGCAAATCAATTGACTATTAGAGAACTTCTATTTCTAAAGTTGATACACTTTGTTTAAAAGCATAACAAAATAGTTATAGCTAATTAGCGTGTCATTCAGGTGATAGATATCATTTATTTAGACACAACAGAATATAATATCTTATTTATCACCGAAAAGTGTTTTCCTTTAACTTAAGCTGGTGCCACTTGTTTGCTACTGTGATTGCATCTTCTTTTGATTTCTTAATGAACAGTATTTAGTACCCACATGAATTGTCACTGATGTGTTCACAAGCAATTATGAGGACGACTTTGGCAGAATGAAGGGGCACTTATGGTTTTAGTGCACTTGTGTCTATTTTTCACAATTCACAAATGACATTCTAGAAGAGGTGATGTGCGAACTTCTGTCTCGCATATTTTGCACCAAAATATCTTACTCAAACAGTAAGAAACAGTGAAATGATAAGAATTTATTATCATTACACCTAAACAAGGAGGTTTTTTAGTGAAATAATACAAACTGCCCGACAAAACATCCACGTTCAGAAGTTGAGGAAGACCAAACAGCTATTTGCGTGGTAAATACGCTTTAGGGGTTGAGAGATATTAAAGGTTTGACGTGATATCTCGTTCAACAACTTCTAATTAATTTATTCTCGCGTACCAAAGACAAAGCAAAAGCCAACAATTGATCGTCCAAACCAATAGATGTATTTACGAACCAAAACCAGCCGATAGACGAACGCTTAGCTAGCTAGTGATCGTGCACGTTACACGACGGGTACCAAATGGCGGGGATGCTTGACCGGAAGCCTTCAGCTAAACAAGTCGACTTAAACAGTGGTGGTCAGCATCCAATGAGTGATTGCTGTGGTCAATAATTTTGGGGAATTATTTACCGCTACAGCTCACTCCCCCCTAGTGGGGTCGTGAGGACCCTAAGACAGAACCAGCCGGAAGTAAAAAAAACTCGATGGTTCCCTTTCGGGTGAAAAAAATCTTCCGAGCGGCTTGGTCTTATGCCTACTGGTTTGTCTGCCTATGCTAATGGGGTGTTTGTACATAGCTTCCTGGTGTTGTTCGTTGGATTCCGTGCTTCGTTTGTTTCCCGTCCAGTGCCCGTCGCACCTGGAAAAGAAAACAAGAACGCTAAGAACCATGTCGAGGAAAATGTACGAAATGACCTTTTTGGTTAAAAAAAATTATGTGCATTTACTATACAGTAAAATAATGCTAAGTTCAGAACATCGAAAAAAAATACATATAATTAATTTTTTTGTGTATGTTACATGAACTGTGGAAAAAAAATTTTTTGTGTTCGGTGGTACTGTATATAAAAAAATTTATACGTCAAAAAAAAATAGTTAGTACCACAAACGAGTGAGTTGCGTGAATCACACGACTTCGTTAAGTCAAATAAGTGTGCAAATGTTCTGGGAACCTTACGGTGCGTCCAGAACGGTTTTTCTTAGGAGGCTCAACCTTAGTAGCCAGTGGGCGAATGCCCTTGCAGTCAATAGTGTGACCCAGGAAGTCGAGTGAGTCAACACCGATTTGACACTTTTGAATATTGATGGTAACACCATGTTGGCGTAACCTGTCAAATGCCAAGTCCAAGTGCCTAAGGTGAGTTTCCTTGTCTGGACTGGCAATGAGGCAGTCGTCTAAGTATGCGTATACAAAGTCGAGACCGCGAAATACTTCGTCAATGAAGCGTTGGAATGTTTGGGCTGCATTCCGAAGACCGAATGGCATACGTAGAAATTCAAAAAGTCCGAAAGGCGTAATGATAGCCGTTTTCGGGATGTCTTCTGTTGCCATCGGGATTTGGTTATACGCTTTAACCAAGTCGATTTTGGAGAATATAGTCGCGCCGGATAAGGTTGCCGTCAAGTCGTGTATATGAGGCAACGGGTAGCAATCAGGGGTTGTTTTGGCATTCACTCGCCGGTAATCACCGGTGGGTCGCCAATCGTTGCTATCCTTTTTCGGAACCATATGAAGTGGGGATGCCCATGGGCTATTCGAAGGTCGAATGATGCCAAGGCTAAGCATATGGTCAAATTCATTCCTGGCGATTCTCAGTTTGTCAGGAGCTAATCGTCGTGCTTTAGATGTCACAGGTTGTCCTGTGGTAATGATGTGGTGCATAACATTGCTGGTTATGCACGGTAGGTCGTTCGACGGGCAGTTAAGTTCCGGATACTTGTCAACGATAGGTTGAAAAGTTGGATCAAGAATTGCCTTTATCTTAACGGGTGACAAACTAGGGCCTATGTAGGTGATGCCTTTGATAGACAGACTAGTAGTATTGTCAATCAGTCGTTTTCGGCGGACGTCTACGAGTAAATCATGATGATTAAGTAGGTCCGTGCCAATGATGGGCATTGTAACGTCAGCGAGAAGGAAAATCCACCGAATAGGTTTGCGTAAACCTACGTTCAGATAGACGTATTTCCTACCAAAGGTTGCGATTGGTTTTCCATTTGCAGCCTGTAAGTTGAAGGTAGGTTCCTTCTGTCGATCTGCTGCTGTAGCAGGAAGGACGCTGACTTCGGCGCCTGTGTCGACTAAGTATCGAGTCTGGCTTATCACATCATGGATGTAAAGTAGGCGGCTAGTGCCACCGGCGACGGTTGCCGCTAACGCGTGCCGGCGGGATAGTTTCCCGCAGACTTTGAGACATTTCCGAAGTTACAAGGCTTACGGCAACACTTCGCTTCTTGGCCATAGGTGTTGTGGTACCAGCACCAGTCAGGGTTTTTCAGTGAACGTGGTTTGGACTTAGATCGACCACGCGAGTTCCTGCGTTGAGGAGATTTAGGACGACGGTTGGAGGATTTAGAATGCGTGTTTGACCTAAACATCTGCTGAAGGGAGTTGCATAACTCTGTCATTGCAGGATCCTCACTCGAAGTCTGCTTAGTCATTGAGCATATTTCGGGGACAGACCGTTTAGTTATTTCTAGGATCTTATCTGCAGTAATAGCTAAGTTCTCTATTACAGTACCCTCAAGTGTCACAAGTACGGTCTGTACAGATTGTGGCAACTTGGTTAAGAAGAGTTCTCTAAACAGTCCTTCGTCGAACTGACATTGGCCGACGACTTGTTTCATTCTTGTCAGCATGCTCACGGCTGACTGATCTCCTAACTCGATGTTGCGAAATAATTCATCTAGACGTTGTCTGTCCGTGAGAGCGTTTCTCCTGAGGAGGGATGCTTTCAGCAACTCGTACGAGTTACTTACCTCGGGACTCAACATCTGTGATGTTACGTACTTGCTGAATTCCCGCGGTAGGGCGTGAATAACTGCAAGTAACTGTGAACGTTGATCAGTTATCCCATGCTCACAAAAATCTGCTTCAGCTAGCAGAAACCACGTTTCAGCATTATCTGGCCAGTATGGTACGAGCTGAATGGTTTTAGGAGTTGAGCGGATACGGATGACCTTGGGACTAAGATCACTCATGACGAAAATTATATCGAATAATATATGGTACAAGAACAAATACAAAATGGAACGAACTCACCGGGGTTATCTGCGGAATTTTCGTGGATGAAGTTCGCGGTTGGGCTCACCAGTTTAAAGGTGGGCGGATGTATCGTGGGGAATTATTTACCGCTACAACGCCTTCTCTGGGGTATAAACTTTAAAAATCCGATAAAATCAGCGACTGGAAAGCCTTTGCTTTTTATTAGGAAAGGGTGAGGATACAATATAAATGAATTAGATATTGCACATTGTTTTTCACAGTCATTTGCATTGCATTTGGAATTTGTATCTCTATTGGTTTTTCAACCGTCAAGGTCAAGCCAGGATATCCGACTGATTGAATTTGATGGTTTGATATGGCGTAAGAGTATTTCTTTGACGGCCATACTCATTTTTTAGACGGTTGGTTATGCTTTGCTTGATGTTTTTTCTGTCTACTTAACGACGAAGTTGCATTGGAACAACAAAAGCTTATCATCAGTTGCTTCTCTTAGTACAACACTTATTTTAACATCATCTTGGTAACTTCGGATACATTCTGAATGGTTAAGATGTAGAATACATTTTAGATGTTCTTTAAGCCGCAATTTATTACTCTTGACTCCTAAATATACGCGATCTCCACATTGAATTAGTGTCCATTTACTGCAACTAAGGATTGCAACTGTCATAGTGTAGTTTACGTGACTAAATGCACTTTACGAAACTATAGCAGTGAGTACCGCAGATGTGCCGGAAACTTCAGTTGTTTCGCAAGGTCCATTGATAAATGTGATCGTGCTATCAAGCACACTACTTAGAATGTTTGCACAACTTTACCACTTTGATTTTGTTTTTTAATAAGGTCATGTACGCTTCTTCTGAAGATATCATATATCTAACCACGCCTACCGTTAGTGTCATTCTTGATGGTTTTATTCGGAGATCAAACTCTGGATGTCTAGAGTATCAAAGGGTCTCTTAGGGGCTAGGTGACTTGTTATACCTCGTAAGAATTAGAGAAAAATTTATGAGTTGAAGGAAATTTTCTCAGTCCCTGAAAATCTGGACATTACCGTCTTCCCTAGCTTCAACTAAACGACTTAGGCAAAGACGTTTATGAGACACGGTTAGATTTAGTATTCATTCGCTGACATTGTAGCTGAAATAGGTTATTCGTTCGGAAATCGGGCATCGTTATTGAACCTAGAACGATCTGCTGAACTACGTTAAATCCCTCAGCGGTTGTGGGCTTACATCCTGTGTCACATTAAAAATGCAGAAGTGTTTGGGACAAAAGTGCTGGTAACACATGCCAATGTTAGACATACGTTCGCTCAGCATGTACAAAACTTGGTGACGGGGTGAAAAATTTGCTAGCAGCATATGTAATTTGAATTGTAAAGAAGATCTAGACAAGTTTTCAGTGTGTTGTTCAAACTAGGCCTTATCTTTATGTGAAGCTGTTAAAATAATCTTCGGATTCCACATGCATCTGTGGTCCACCTAGAGTGTGTTTCGTTTGATCCATTTGTCTCAGCATGGAGTAATCTACTGGCATGAAACGCCTATACACAATGTTCTTCTGTGGAATTTGTTTGGGTTGTCAATGACTCCCTGTTGTGGACTTAGAATGCTTTCTAATAGTTATCTGAAACCTGTCTTGTGTTGTCAACCCTTTTTTTTGGAGGCATTGCATTGTGAATCGGTTGTATGTAGACATGTGGTGATGTCAGTCGTCGGTATTTAGTGTTGTTATGATTTAGTTTGTAGACTGAAGAGATATTAATCTTCATCAGACTTTTAGAGATTCGGGTTCTCGCTCAGACGTGTAATTGATTTCGAGCATACAGTAGCCATTCGCTTATTTGGTGGATGTAATTGCAAAATTTAGAGCCCACTACATATGCTCACCAAGTATGTTGAACGGAGAATTGTTTCCAAGAGAAGGTTGCTTCACAACTGGTGTACGTTGTTCAACATTAGGTAGTGCGATTTGATGCTTACTTAAGTCAAAATTTAAGCAGTTTTAGGACATTTAGATTGAAATGTCCTATGGAGTTTATTCATGTGCACAATATTTTTGAATGCCTACAAAAACTTGTTAACTCTGTCTAACTGTAGTTTTTAAGCAGTAACTGAAGATGGAGGAAAGCACAAGCTGACCTCTGGTGATTTCTAAGGACTAGCTAAATCTGGTTAGGCCGCATAATATCTAATGTTTGATTCAAAAGCTGTATGCGTGCATGTAGGATAAATCCGTTACATTTAGTTTTGTCTGATATAGCACATGACTGAATCACGATCCGAGCACAATTGATCGCTCATAATTACATCAGTTTATTCTCACAACTTCATAACTAGCTTTTTATAGCCTTAATTTCCCCTGTTTTATCGCGAGTTTCCATATATCAGGGATAGATGATGTGTTATTCTGGAACAATGTTAAATCTCTGTTCATTTAATCAACACCAAAGACGTGCAGTTGAAATGACGCCACACCAGTCCTGGATATGTGGAAAATTACAATTGCAGGGGAGAATAATGATATAAGAAATAAGTTAGGAAATCGCGTGAATGCATTGATATGATTATGCCCGTTGAATTGTCCTAAACGTCACTCATTTTTCACCACTTTATCACTTTATTTTTTCAAATAAACTTACCTAATATGAGATTACGCTGCCCTCGCTCGTTTCTGAAAACCAGATAGTCAGGAAGGAAGTGAACAAATCAAAAACATTGCCCGAAAATGTGTGGAACAAAGTGGAGGTAGATTGGACCTACACTGAGAAAATCGTTGATTGACATCGCTCTCCGGGTCGTAAGGTGGAAACCCGAATAGGAAGCGATGAGCTGGTCGTCTGAAGCTAATTTGTAGATCATGCGAGGAGGGAATGTGAGCTTAGCAGGAAATCATGGAGAAGTGCTCCTGAAGCCCTATTTTGCACTAGGGAACTGATGGGGCGATAGTAATAAATATTAATATGGAGTTATATTCTACCACAGTGCCCAAATCCCACAAATTGTTCAGTAGGTTGTGGATATGTATTATATGTGTGATGTAAGATATCTGGTGCACATGCTGAAACACATGTTCGACTATGCGCATTATTTGTTTTTAAGTGAAATGGAGAAAAGAACATTTTCATCAGAAGATACTGATTTTCCTAGAGTTGTTAACTGCCAATGTAGCCTGTGTTCAAAATTGTTAAAAGTAGAAGTTTAAAACTTAAGAGAACATTTGTAAGTCAGTCATAACTAGATGGTGTTAGGGTATAAATCACTAATGAATTAGTAACTTTGTGTCTTACCTTACTTAATTTTATGTTTTTTTTTCACAGTGAGTGTGCCGTGGCTACAGCGAAAGCCAATGTGATGCTATATGATTCGAAGGCGAGTACTTGGATTCCAAGTGGCCCGGGACATGGGATTTCTAAAGTTCAGTTGTATCATAATACGTTAACTAACGCTTACCGTGTGGTTGGTTGGAGATTACAAGATCGCGAAGTAAGAAGGGATTAAACACCGTTTTCCCTGTTACATAACTAGGTATTGTAAATAAAAATAGGTGGTGATATTTTCACTATAAGCATTTGAGGTTTACAGATTACTTTTTCAATAAGATTTAAAATTAATTGAGGAGAAGTGACCAATAACCATCAATCATTTCATTATACTTGGTGTAAATACTCAGTAGTTTCCTGTTTGTTGCTGAAATAAATTTTAGATCTTCAGTTTTTCCCGAAAAAGATTCAACACTTTCTCTTTAGAAATTCAATTAATTTATTGCACAACTTGATATTCCTTCAGTATCATTAACAGGTATCCGTTAGCGAAACGTGCACATCACAGATTACTTTTCAATTTCGTGAAATTCATATGCATTGTGAACTGCTAATCAGCTCACAGTTGTTATTAAATATGAAGTTTTATGTAGCTATAAGATAGTTTTTATCATATAAAAGTAAATAACGCATGCTCTTATAGTGTCGTAATTTAAGGAGTGGATGCTGTTAGTTGAAACAGGTTTGTTCAGTCAATATTCTCTTATCTATATTGATTCTTAAGTGGTTATCAGGTTGTAGCGACAACTGTCTTGTTGAATGGAGTCACTTGATTACTGTATAATAATTTTTTTATCTTTCTCCAAATTATAATTAGGTTGTTATTAACTGTGCCATTGCACGTGGATTAAAGTATCATCAAGCGCGACCTACCTTTCATCAATGGCGTGACAGTAGGCAACAAGTCTATGGATTAAATTTTACGTCAGTTGAAGAAGCTGATGCATTTGCTGCTGCTGTAAAATCTGCTTTGGAGAGTTTAGCAGCATTGCATCGTCAGCAGGCTTTACAAGCTCAACAACAACAGCAACAACCTAAACCTTCCGTTACCTCTTCTACTGCTGACATCTCTACCGTGTCTACTATTAATCAAGACTTATCTCAGCATCAGTATCAACAACCAAAACAACAGATATCAAATCAACAATCTTTATCATCAAATCAATTGATAACTAATAATAATAATAGCAATGCTAATTGTAATAACAGTCAGTCATATTCTATTCAACCAACTACAATAACAGTACAAAATCGACCAATTCTATCTTGTGTAAGTTTCCTTGTTAGGATATCCCATTATGATTTGTAACATAAATTAAGAGGAAGGTCATCAAATTATCAGTTAAAGAATATCAAATTTCATAAATACGGTTGGAACAAGTGTTAAAAATAAAGGGTAAAAGAAACCACCAAGTGGCCTTTTGAGAATGTGTGTTCAAACTAAATCTAATTGGAAGAATGTGATTGAATGTTGTATGAAGAATTCCCATGATATGATGAATTAATGACGCCATCAGTCCGCTAAACGGATATCTTTTCGTAACTTCATTTCAAAGCTGTGTACAGTTATCTAGGGATTTATATTCTATAGTATTAATTATAGGAAAGGTCAGAGGTTATTGTCAGTTAGTAGCAGAATAAATCAAAGTATGTATGTGAAATAACAATGTTTGTAAAAATAGTGAATAATCATCCTACGTAATTAAGAGGGTCGTTAAATGATTGTTTTTTAAATGATGAATGTTCATTTGAAAGTAATCGATAGAAAACAAGAGAACTAAGCACTGAAAATCAGTTTAGGTTATCCACTTTCAACGAAACCGCGATCGAGATGTTCCCGCTAATTGCTTCCAAACTTCTAACACTAATTCAAGAGTACATTGCGATGGGAAGCCTCCTGGGATAGTAACCGCGTCACAGACTGGTTGACAGAATTCGTCCAGTCCCGCTAGGGACTAGTTACACTATATGTATATATATATATATATATGCTGAAAGTCTACCACGTTCGATCCTCTCATTTAATTTGTGCATCTTCTTTTCACTTTATATTACAGGATACAGTTGAGTCGACTGAGCATTATGGAGAAAAGAATAAACCGTTACCAACAGTTAATCAGCACTCTGAGCAGCAGTTATCATGTAACTATGATGAAACATTTGTTAATAAACGTGTAGATAATGTCGTTTTAAATGGTAATCAGAATGTCTACCCGGCTGTAACTAATATGTGTAAAAATAATCCTCCTAGTCAACAAAATACTGAAAGTAAGTTTTTACACTCTCAATTACTGTAATTTACTAAGTTTGTATTTGTTTATACTGTGTTTTTCTTCACATTATAAGTCGTGAACAAAATCAAACTTTTAGTGAGTGAGTGAAATTGCAGTTCAGCTGACAACTTTATTTCTTTCCATCGAATATTGAATTTAGGAGTCTGGAATTTAGTGTTTGGAAATCCTATCACAAAAAGATTTTCGATCCTATTTTTTGTCTTAACTCCATTTATAAACTGTTTATTTATATTCCTAGGAATATTAGAATATGTTCGTTGTTATAACTATATTCAGACAAAAAAGAGGTCACTGGTAAATAAGTCGTATTTGTTGATGGGTATTTGTCTGTCTGAAATGATTTTCATTGTTCTTGTCTAAATTCCTTTAACCCCGCAACAGGTCTTTCGTGTATCAGGAAATGAACCACACTCGTTGCGTGAAACCGGGTGATACCACCTAGTTTTGCTGACTGAAGTAGGTGGATGGAGATTCGAACTGGGATCTAATGACTGAAAGTTGAGTGATTAAGTCGATGAGTCACATTGCCACTTCCAATTGATTATTTTGATTTGACCTAAATTTTCAGGACATTTTGTATCACTCTAAGAATGAGGGCACAAGCTAATCACCGTTGTACTTAAAGACTGTCTAGGTTGCAAACACTGTTCACTCGACTTATTTGGCATAAACATGCATTGGTGTGCATATCAAATGTATTTACTTCCGTTTAAAATTTATGATCTATGCAACTTACGTTGCCTATTTCTACAAAATGTTTTTTAAAGTCGTTCTAATCTAACAGTTTCATTTCTTTAAATTTCTTCAAGTTAATCCCAACCATAACTTTTTTTAGCGTAATTTTTGTCGTGTACTCTGCTAGTTTCTTTTGTTGCTGTACATAGACAGCACAATTGTTTGTCTTAGTGGTTTAAACTGTTCATGGAGGGATATTAACCTATTGTGGTGGTGGAGCTATGCTTCGTTGATTTAGTATCTCAACTTGCAGGCAATAGGTCATTGATTGTAACTCTCCTGTGTAGTATCAATAGTCCTTATACGATAGGTGGAGCTAATTATCAGTCTCACATAGATGAAAGTGGTTATTGACTAACATTGATTGCCCTTCGTTAAATACTACGATTTAACTTCGCCAATTATTTTGTCACTAAAAATTTTCAGTATAGTATGATTTGCGTTTATAATTCACCAATGCAAAATTTCAATATTAGTTAGTTTAACCGTTGTCCGTCGGTGGCACAGTGGTAGAATGCTCGTCAACCACGCAGGTGGTTCGGGGTTCGATCCCTGGCCGACGCACTCCTTTACCTCGCTAAGCCAGTAATAAGATTTGTAAAGAGGGAAGGTTGGGTATGAGGCAAGCATCCCCATCCCGTAAAAATAGAACACCATTGCCACCGAAACTTCAAGCCTTGTAGCTTGGAGCCCCATGTTCCACTGGGAACGTGAAAGAATTAAAAAGAAAGTTTAGCTGTCAATAGCTGGATGAGTGCTTTTCCCTTGTATTTTCTGTTGTTTGTTTATGAATATAAGATATCAGTAATAAACGTGACTAAGAACTGAAATGCCTAAGGCAAAAAGAGTAGTAGTGTTGCATGACTGTAAAGCTCAGGAAACAGTTACTTGAAATGCATTATTGAAGCAGTCAATTCGATTTCACTTAATGTCATTAGGTAACTCAGTATCTACTTGTAAATTCGTGCACGGAACTTCAAGCTACATTTATTATGTCAGCGGTGATTGTATCAACTGGCGTACATTTCCTCTACTGGAGTTTTACATTCTATTTACGGAATTATGTGTACGCCTGCATTTACTTGAAACGTTTAGTCTACGAGAGAAAAATGGTTAAAAACGTGGTGATTTGATATCCACCTGTTTTCCGTTATTATTATTGTTATTATTATTATTATCGTGATCGTCAGTATTGTTTTAATACAACTGTTTAATTCACCAGTTAGTTTGTATTAATTAATTATTATTATGAATTGTTATTATTTTGCATCACATGACTTCCATCTTCCTTGATTTATGTCCAAATGTTTAATAGTTCCATACTGATTAAGATTGTACAACTTATGAGCTATATGTTTATAAAAATAAGGGTTGTATGATCTTATATATATATATATATATATATATATATATATAGCAGTTTATGTAGGAACTCGTGGATCTACTGGTTAAAAGTTAAACACCTTAACTAATAAATTCTGTTTTTGTGTATTTTCATACTGAAGGTGAAAGGAGGTTCATATATTAGTAGGATTCGAGTTAGCAACATTTCGATGGTTTAACTAGGAAGTCATGAAGTTAGACTATTGAAAGAAGGTGAGAATCTCACCTCATTCACAGAGATACATGAACGTATTAATCAAAGCTACTATAAAAACTTATTCAAGAATGTTTTTGGAAACCACTTTGAAAGTTTTCCATATATTCTATGAAATTGGTTACAAGAGTCAACTACATACTTTTACTGCTGTAACCTGTCATTGATTTCTGTTATGTTAAAGATCTCAGTGAAATAGTTTATATTCCATTATGGGTACAATCTGTTTTGATAAAGTCTCACAGTGTTATACAGTAGTGTTTACTGATGACGTTTCGAGCACAATTTATTGCCACTCATAATCACATCAAGTCACTCACACAACTTTCTAACTTCATTTATATAATTCCATTATTTTCCATATTTCCGTTATGAGCGATGAGTCATTCCTATCGCATGTGTTGGGGGTAGACTCGATGAACAAGGATTCAGTAATCAATCTCTCTCCACCTACCTAGATTACTTTTTAGAATTTTAACCCCCTCCCACCCACCGTGTTATGTGGTTGTGTGTTAATGCATGCAGTGCAATGTAGTGGTGAGCTTTTTTCTAAATTACTCATCTTCTCGGGGTCAACCATTCTTACCTTAGCTAACTTTTTATGTTCCGACAATCTGACTACCGCGCCCGAACTACTAGTTTGACCTATGTAGGTGACCTCATTCACAGTCATTGCAAGGTATTTTGTAAATTATATTATTTTGTTTAATTGGGTCAACCGACAAGGGTCCTTTAACCTTACTGACCTTGTCCGTGAGTGAGTCTGTAGGTTTAAATGTCACCAGACTGATTCCTGCTTTATTTAGAATCCTACGTTGGGTCCCCTCCTTATATGGTATAACAGTAGATGCCTTATATTCTCTTTTATTTATGTTATCATCATTAGTTTCACCATTATTTTTTTGCTTGTGGCCTTTACTGATCTTCTAATGAATTTTATAGGATAGTTAGTTATTTGATACCAACGCTTCTTCTGTCTGTTTTATTTCATCACTTAGTCTCCCAGCACTCTATTCTGTGATGAAATAAAATAAATAGAAATTAATAGGAAATGACTTCACAGTTGGTATAGTATCTAGTCTAGTTCTTTTCAGCAAACGTCTGTTAAACCAATCAGTGGCTTAATACTTTTGGTTGTCCCGTCTATCTGCTTCTACTATTTGCTGTCATATCATATCTGTTGATTCTTCTGGAATTCTACATGAAAATTAATTTATATTTACTAAAAGAACTACACAACTTGAATTTACAACCCTTATTTCTTAATGTCTCAGATAAAGACCCGATATCTATTTAATACTCCTTGATTTTAGGGGCTGTAATGTAAACTAACGTGGAAACCGAGTGGATGACGAAATTTATGAAGGTGCTAATAGCCCAGACTTTTTGAAATCTATTGTTTCTTTTTTGAGTACAGCTAACTGATTGACGATTTTCATATGGTTGAACATTATTTGGGTTAATGATGATTAGCAATGATTTCCAGGATGCTCATTTCGTCCTATTTGGGACTTGTCAGTTGGGTGTACTTGCATTCGCAGTGAATGATGATGTTCCCACTGAGACTCGATTCCTGCACCCTTTTGGCCTATGCTGACTGAAAATGAGGAAAAAACCCAGATGACAAGTCTTAAGTCTATCTATCTGTCTGTTTTTCGACATAGAACTTTGCACCGATGTGCACCAGTCCAAGTCGCCACACTCCCTCCTTGTAGCACACAAAGCAACACAAGAAAGTAGAAGAAATGCATATTAGAGAGAGTAAACAGGGATATGACACAAAAGGAATAGTAATAACGAAGAACAATATAGTTTCATTGGAAATCAAAAGTCACAAGGAGTGGATCTGTCTGTCTGTTTTCGACATAGAACTTTGCACAAATGTACGGAAGTTCAAGTCGCCACATTCCGTGTAGCACGCGAAGCAAGAGAAGAAAGTACAAGAAAAGCATAATAGAAACAGTGAGCAGAGGTGTGAGACAAAGGAGTAATAAAGAAATACAAAACAGTTTCATTGAAGATCATAAGTCACAGGGAGTGGATGCATCTGCGCCACTGAGAACGGTTTTGAGCCATGTCACCAATTGTTTCCAACCATAGATTTTTACCGTCCCGAGGACCCCAGCCTGGAAGTCTACACCTTTCTACGTGGCATAGACCAACTGTTGTGGATTTCATTGACTGATGCCAAGTTTTTGTTTGACTGCCGCTAGCTTTTTTCCAGCCTGACCCTATATCCGCTAACATTGCTCGTCGAGGGAGGTGATGGCTTGGCATACGTAACACATGTCCTAACCATCTCAGTCTTTGTAGCTTCATGACTTCGTCGATTGATTTCCCCTTTTTACCTAGAACTCGAAGCCTAACCTCCATGTTGCTCACCTTATTATGCCACTTTACACGGGAAGTAGAGCTCAGGCACCTATGATCAAAGACAGCTAGTCTTTTCATGTCTTCCACTCTCAGTGGCCAGGTCTCACAACCATAAAGGAGGACGGAGCGGACTGATGAGCAGTACACCCGCCCTTTGGTCGATAGTCGAACATCTCGTCTACGCCAGAGTCGGTGTAAACTGGCAAATGCGAAACGAGCCCCTTGTATTCGTGCTGAGATTTCGTCAGAGATCAGCCCGTTGGGGCTGATGGTACTTCCCAAATAAGTGAAGCGGTCAACGTGCTCTACCACTTCACTTCCTATTTTTAAACTAGGCGTCGATGTAGTCCAGTCCTGTAACATCATCTTGCATTTGGCGGGAGCGAATCGCATGCCAAACATTCGTAGATTGCGGCTCAAGGTGTTTAGAAGACTCTGCATTTCGTCAGCGTCTTCGCTGAGTGGATGCATCTGCACAAGCCATCGAGAACGATTTTGAGCCATGTCACCAATTGTCTCCAAACATTGGTTTTTACCGTCCCGAGGACACCAACCAGGAGGCCAGTCTACACCTCCCTACGTGACTGGCTGACTTAAACTAACTGTTGTGGATATTATTGACTGATGAGGCCATGTTTTGGTTTGATCGCCTCTAGCTCTTTTCCAGCCTGACGGATCTTATGTCAGATAACATTGCCCGTCAGTCGAGGAAGGCGATGACTGGGAATACGTAACACATGCCCTAACCATCCTCAGTCGATGTAATTTCACAGCCTCGTCGATTGATTTCCCCTCCCTCCTTACCTAGCACGCGACGCCTAACCTTAATACTGCTCAACTTATTATACCACTTCTCACAGGAGATAGAGCGCAGGCACCTATGATCGAAGACAACTAATCTTTTCATGTCTTCCACTCTCAATGGCCATGTCTCGGTCACAGCCATAAAGGAGGATGGAGCGGACTGATGAGCAGTACATTCTCCCTATGGTCGATAGTCAGCTGGATATCACGTCTATGCCAGAGACGGCGTAAACTGGCTGACTTAAACTAACTGTTGTGGATTTCATGTTCGGCAGTTTAAGCGTTGCTGTAGGCCAATTAAACTACTCCTCATACTAATCTTTCCAGCGTTCCAGTCGTCTATCCTGGAAGTTAATTATGGTGCCATTTTTCTCAGAGATTGTTTCACTCATCGTTTGGCTTTTGCCACCTGTTTCCCTGATAAGCCTAAATAGTTGTCTGGTGCTGCCAAGTCTTAAGTAGGACGAAATGTGGATCCTGGACTTCACTGTTATTCGCCATCACCCGAAATAACTTGATTTTAATCCTCAGAAATCCGTGAAACGTCCGTATTAGGAGCCGAAATGTCAACAACAACAACAAACAAACCATTTTGGTCCAACGTATTCACTTAATACTAAGTGCGTAATAACCTGAAGAAATGAAGTGATAGTAGAACATTATTTGAAATAGCCATCTTTTAATTTGTTGTTCCATTATCCTTCTAATTATTAAATGATTATTCATGTTATGTAGCGAAATAATCCTTTAATTTGCTTACTTTTATTATTTTGTTGTATAACAGCTGCTTGTCTGAAGTCAACAGAGCAAAATGGTGGTTTTATGAATGGTAATACAGAGCATGGTTTGAATTCTGATTCACCGTAAGTTGTTGAGTAAAACTGAAACATCCTTTTTATTATACGAGTAGATTAGTTGATCTTTTCTATGATGATTACGCTTTTAGTATATTTGTACATTTGTGTGATATATATTAATGCATAAATTCTTCTTTGATATTCGATAAGTAACTATGTTCAAATTACTATTGACCGTTTTAATTGTCTACATCATTCGGGTTGTGTGTGTTCTTTTTTTTTCTTGTTTCGTGTGTATCACTTCAACTTATTGCACATCTAAGTGATACAAGAAGGCTGAATCAATCTATCAGAAAAGATGGCAATAAGTAGTAAGAAGGATAATACATGACTCATGGTCTTAGATGATTTATTTCAAATCTTTGCGGTATATAATTCCATCTCGAAACACTGTTGAAAATATTGAAAGTAAGCGTAAAGTCATAAAAATGGAGGATAAGCAAATTACTGTGATTGTTAACATTGATATGTATATAGGATCTTTATCAAGTGCGTAAACATGCTAATACTTACATATGCCATTGATGTGAGAAGTGTCTCATTGACACATACATTTGGCTTTTAACCAATAATTGTATGGAGGATTTAATCATGAGCTGACATCAGTTAGAGAACCACTGGGAAACCTGGGAGTACTGGACAACTGTTTTGTCCTAGTTTGGGACTCTTCAGCAGTACGCACCCACCGGGGTTCGAACCCAGGACCTTCTGGTTACAAGGCTAGCGAGGTCATAGACCACTAAGCCACGGGGACCCGATCCAATGGCTATCCCATGAATTCTGACTTCTGCCAATTCACGACATAGCGCGACCACTTCGCAATGTCTTCTTCGATGAGTTACTGCCTCATCTTCAACCTGCTATACCCTACTGGTCACGGCTTCTCACTAGAACCCCAGGTTAACTGCCTGAATAGGGCCAGTCGCTAGTGAGCATCAGGTAGATTTCATTGACTGATGAAGCCATGTTTTGGTTTGACGACCACTGGCTGTGATGTACTGGTTGAAAACACATTGCTCAGAGCAAGCGCTATGTCTCTATTGACCAACCAGTTTGTGTGGTGTTTATTTTTAACCTGCATATATAGCTTTTTTTTAAATGAATTATGGGTTAAACCTCATCAAACATTTGTTAAAGATTCTTTTCCCACTGACAATTTTGTAACTGAATTGAATCATCGTTGTGTTTTATTTACTTGTTTCTATACATATATATCCTATTTCTGACTTACCGAAATCCAATTTATAATTTCTGTATTATATGTTTGTGGTAAAATGATGAAATACAAGAAAGGGAGATCAACCTGTTCACAACACATATTGTTAATTTAATTTTGTTTTACTACACAACAAAACGTCAATACCACCAAGATGTGTGCTTAAGAAGGCGTATAAAGCAAAAAACAAAAGAAAGGATAAAATATACATACTAACTACTGCTGTATACCCCTGTTTTTTCTCTTTTTTCCTCTGAGAATACTATCTTGAGACAGTTGTTTGAATTAAGTTAGATGGATGAAAGGAGAATGAAGTTTGCTTCTCTTTATTATTATTATTATTATTTTTGTGAATAGCTTAGATGTTAAATAATGTGAATAAGCGTGTGTGTGTGTGTATGTATGAATGAATGTATGTGTATTTGTTCATACTTCTTCCCATTTAATTGAATTATTGGAGGCGTACTTGTTTACACTAATAATTTCAAAAATAAGTTAGAGGAATAAATAGAAATTGTGCATGAATTTACACTTTTATCGTCTGTAGTTTATCGATCTCTCCGTAGTTGTTCAGACGACATACGTCATGTATTGCTAATTCATAATATATATATATATATATATATATATATATATATATATATATATATATATATATATATATATAATGAATGCAACTTGTCGAATGCTTGCTGCAACAATAAACATTTTTAGCACGTAATCTACACTGTGCAAATAAATAGAGTAATTATAACTAATACAAGTAACTCAAGAGTTATTACACTCTAGGATGTATAATTTCATTCCAAATTATTTTTGATTTATTTTCTAGCTTTTGCTATCAATACTTATTTAGATAAATAATCAGTCGCTAGGTGGTGGTAACTAGTGTAAATCTGTGTATTCTTAAGGCTTGAAAAAGTTTCTTAATAGGGGATATAATTGCAAGAGATAGTTCCTGCGGGATTTGACTCGTTTCAAGTTCCTTCACAGATCGATGTCACTAGAAAACCTTTGGGAACTAGGGAGCACTGGGCAGCTGTTTTACTCTGGTTGCTCTGGTCTCTTCAGCAGTACACACCCCCACTGGGGTTTGAACTAAGGGCCTTACAGTTCCAAGGCAGGCTCCTAAATTAAACTGGGATATTTGTATCAGATGTTGAGATATGACTATGAGAAATTTTGTACCAGTTATAATTTTGTCCAGTTAGTCAATATCTGTGACTTTTGAAAATTCAGAAATATACTGCTTATAATTAACTATTGATTGTCAATAATTCCGTTCTACAATAAATGGGGACTACTAGGATAACTTGGAGATTCCTAAATTCCGTAGTTTGATTAAGCTGTGGTATATGAAGCTCTAGTAAACTGGACAGGTTTCATGTGTCGATGAAGGTTAATTGATCACATCTTTACCATTTGATGGGTTCTTGGACACACCCATACTCACTGGTGTCCGACGCTTGCCTTATTTCTTGACTTGAATATATTGTTGGCCTACGTTAATCAAGAGATGCTTTTGTTATGTTTGACTGTAAAGAGAGTGACAAGGAACCATATACTGCTGATTAAGCCGTCCTATTCGGACTCATGGGGATGTGTAAGAATTTATAGAGAGTTGTAATGTGGAATGACGACAGGGATGCTTATTTTTTATTCCACTTCACAGTCTGAAGGAAAATTCTCGCTGCTTTAAAGTACACTGACTGTGTTTTAAATGAAGTCGCTCAAAAAGTGCAGCCTTCTGAATATCCCAACAAAAAATGTCTCTTCAGCGGGTAGTTTACTTCTGGTTTTAACTCACTCACAAATCTTCATATGCACTGAAATGATTGTGAATGTGTTGACTGACTTATTTGTGTAGTAGCATGTGTCTATCCTAATGAATTGATAGCTTACAAGATTTCTGTGTAGTTGCAGAAGGTTGATTCAGCATGTAGCAGGTTGCAATATCTCCTACACAAGTGTAAAATTTGGCTATCCATCAGATGTGTGTGTTGTGTGGAGCTTACTCGATCCTAATCTACACCTGTAATAAATGACCATTAAAGGTAGAGGATACGAAAAAAATCGGGGCTTTGGATCATTGGTGCTTTCAATCAGTTATTCGTAGTACATGGAAAAACATGATAATTAGTGTAAGGGAATGTGAAGTCAATCAATGCGTTTGTGGAGCCACATCGATTGAGATTTCTAGGACATGTCTTACGCATACTGAGTCACTCTCTCTCTCTCTCGATAACTGGTTTCAGCTGGAGTTGAATAAGGTTGGAAATAATTGAAGAGGAGGCAGTTAGATTGGAAAATCTCATCAACAGATGAGGTAAATGATTGCTACTGGTGTCAGTATTTTCCAACTAAGGTCTTCAGGCTGCTTAGCAGCTATGGTTGGAGACTATTTCTTTCATCTTCGACAAATTCTTTTCACATGATGATGAGAATTCATCTTGTTACTTCACCCACTTATAGCCTTAAAAAAATGTTGTCTCCCACTAAGAAGTCATGTTGATTGCCAAATAATGTATTGATATTTCTAGAGATTATTGTCAAATTTGTTTTTTTTTTATAGTGCTTTTTATCCATAAAAAAAGACAGTCTAACACTATGTACTTTTGTTTTAATATTGAACACGTATAATTTCCTCTGTGTTCTCCAAGGACTCATTTTACATATCTCCTTATGTGTTGTAAATAAATAATAGTAGAACACAAAATTTTTTGAAGGAGAAATCCCTGTAGAGAATCTGTTGACTATGTGTATATTTCCTCTCTAGTGTTAGAATTTATACTGTGATAGTTTAAGATTTAGCTGGTGAATGTTTAACAATTAAAAGCTGTGGTTTAATCTTATTTTCCTGTTTATGTTCAAATTTTATTGACATATCATCAGTATATTAAAGTAAGCCTAGAAATTTACAACAGATTAGTAGTAAGAGTAGTAGTAGTAGTAGTATTAATTAAAGTGTAGCATTTTATGTCAATGTGTATTCTGATGCTTCGTAAGGCTGATATTATTTGTGAGTGTGTGCAAATATATGCTGCATGCATGTTTGTATTATATTTCATATTTTGACTAAATGTACAAATTCTGAATATGAGTGGTTGTATACACACTTGAATAGTGTGTACAGTTTCGTTTGACTTTACTCCATTCCTTTTCACATACTTCCCTCATCTCCCTTCTGGATATAATTTCATTGGATTTCTAGTAGTTGGACTATCTGTAATTATCTGCCATTGACAGACCACTATTGCTGTTATGCGTAAATGTATGAAGGTAAAATGAAAATCTGGACCGTAATGACAGGCTGGAGGCTGGATGGATGTCAATGCTAGGCCTGATAGAGCACGGTGCTAGCTAATCAGGATGGAGGTCATTGTTTCGATTCCTTTTGTGTTCTATATGTTTCACTTAGCCTTCAGTTATCACCCGTTAGATTGATCGAACTCATCGAATAGTATGTTTTGCTGGCGAGTTGTTACCATGGCTTCATTGTTATTAATGTTATATTGTTTTAGTAGTGGTAGTAATAGTAATAGCAGCAGTATGAGTGATAGTGACAGTAATTATTGTGTGAATCATTTGTTTCTGGAAATTACATTTTTAAAATGTACTCAATCTGAATACAGAACTGTTGTCATATCCTGATGACAACTGCCTATAAGCCAGTTAATTCTTCAAGAACTTCATAACAGATTATGCATGGTGAGTGATTTTTGAATTCTGTTTATGTAGGTTTTAATAGTTTTCTGGCTTGTTTTTTGGTTGACATTTGCATCTGCAGAACTGCCAACATCAATATGGACATAATCTTCAATGGGCTTTCCTTGTATTTTGCCTTTTTTTTGACAACTATAAACAAAATCCTGAGCAACTGCAAACTGTACTATACTATACTATGAGCAATTAGTTCGTGATTATCTCAGTTTCAATTAGATGGTTGAATTATGCCTAGTGATATTTGAAGCAGGCTGGTGTAAGTAGTCTTATGAAGTGACTTTAGATAGGTAACATTTTTGAGGCTTTGTAGTTCTGAGCTGGATGATTGTCTTAAGTGTCGTTCGAAATGAAATGAACTTTGGAAATTCTCCCCTAATGAAGTTGGCTGTCAGTGTTAAACTACGCATCACATTTGTCCGGAAGGATGATGAAAACTTGATAATGAAATCATTCAGCTCACAGAAGACAACAATATCAAAAACACACTTAATTCATTGATATTAGAATAAAACTTGTGCACTCTGGTAGAGTACAGTACATGTACAGTAAACATTAGTGTAAAACACTGTGAGATTTTATCAAAACAAAAATTTACCCATAATGGAATTACACTTAATTCAATTTAGATTTTCCCATCCATTGATTGGACCGAGGTGCTCGGTCTCAGGTTGACATGTCGCCTCCTAGTATAGATGCTTTGACCATGTCTGATCATGTAATTTGAAGGCACTTGGTGGATGGTGACTAGCAGTGGAATTCAGGATGCGCACTTCGTCCTATTTTCGACTCGTCAGCTGAATATACCTGCGGCCTCCGGTAAGTGATGGCCTTCCCACCGGGGCCCAAACCCAGTGCCATGACCAGACATCGTCGAAGCATCTGCACAAGGGAACGACATGTCAGCATCGACGGGAAAATCCAAATCGAATTAAGTAATCAATAGCATCTGTTGCATAAGAGGCGGCTGTCGTGGCCCAAGTGGTTTAGTGGATAATGCTTCGGCATTTGGAACTATGGACACTGGGTTCGCGTCTCGGTCATTATACCCAGTGAACAATGTAGATCCTATAAAGTAGTGATTAAATCAAGTAGTAATAACTTGTGATACATCTTAGCACTTCTGCAGTGTAACTGCTCATTCGATGACTCGTAGATAACATTCAAATTCTGGTGATTTTATTTTATTAAATGACTCATGATCTCAATTTTTCTGATAATTTTTTTCTAAGATTTGTAAACAATTCACTTCACCAAGTTAAAAGTTGTATCATCAATTTTTTCTTCTAATGTCTGTTCATTTGTATGACTTTATGTTAGACATTGGGTTTCATGTGAGCGATCATCACTCTGTTGACCTTTTTAATGCATTTAAATTGACCCAAGATCAGTTTTAACCCCATTTAGTTATTTATATATATATATTTTTCTATCAATATTGAAATGGTGTTTAAAGTGTTTAAATCGATAAGCTGTAAACATTTCTGTATATAGGAACAAACACCTGTATGTAAAATCAATTCATGAAAAACACTGAAATCAATCCAACAACTTTAAGTTGTACTCACAAATTATTGATGTAGTGTACATGTATTCCAATACTTGAGCCAAAAAATGACTGCCAAGTCTTGGTTTATTATTATTATTATTGTATCCTTTAGTTCCTAAAGGAACATAGGGCTCCAGCTGCGCACCTCCGTTGCCTTCGGTTTTCTGACAGGGATTTAATTGGTTACAGGATTGATGATGAGCTGAAATCAGTCAGAGGAACCATTGGACAACTTGGGAGTACTAGTTAGCTCTTTCGTCCTAGTTTTGAGCTTTTCAGTAGTACGCAACCACCACTTTCCAGTTAAGAGACGAGATTGTAGACCATTAAGCCACTGGGACTCGACCCAGTGGTCCATGAATTCCAACTTCTGCCAATTTGTGGTACATACTTAATGCGATCGCCAGCCTATGTCGCGGGCGCTGAATATATCTCGTTACTGGAAGGTCCTGGGTTTGAACCCCAGTGGTTGCGCGCTGATAAAGAGTCCCAAACTAGAACGAAACAGCTGTCCAATACTTTCAAATTTTTTTAATGGTTCTCTAACTGATGTCTGCTCGTGACCAATCTTGCAAAAAAAAAACCAATCAGTCTATAATAATAACAAACAGTAATTCAGAAAATCAGGTGAATTGTCATCTCATACTATAGTCATCCAAGGTCGGTCAAAACTTCCACTTTAAAATGAACAGATAAGGCCTGAGTGTTGATAGAGGAGTGAAGGCAATCGGTACCTGTCTTCTGTACTCATTCGGGAAGTTGATGTCTTCTTGGTGCAAATAAAAGGTTAGTTTTGTGTGACATTTAGGGGGTTTATAGTTTCAAGCCTTACATTATCAAATATTTTCTCCTCAAAACTGTAAGGTACAACTGAATGTTTGGCCATTGTAAAAAAATCATTTTCATGGACTTCACATTCCTTTTGTACGACTTTACCCTCAGACACCTACCGTAGACTACGCTGTTTTCAAGACGATGGAAGTTTCTTTAGGTCTTCACAACTATCCAGTTGACCTGTATGGTTTGAAGGTTATTTCGCTGTTATAATAGGATAGAACAGAAAATAATATATGTCCGAAAAAACCCATCGATTTATGAAATCTTTGATTGTAGTGCAATGTTTTCGAAGTAGCATGAATCTGTATTCCTGGCGATCGTAGAAAATATAAAAGCCAATAACTAAAGTATAGCAGGTGAGAGAGACTCACTTTTTGTTAGCGATATTATGACGGAAACTAAACTGGTTTTCTTTTGTTTTTACTCTTTAGGTATTATTCATCTTCAGATGACAGTGTGAGAGGTCTTCGTGGCATACCTAACGGATCTTGTGGACCTCATATGAATTCAACAACACCCCAGAAAATAACAAATGTTCCCAGTACTACTACGAAAGCCGTAATTGGGAATTCAGATGATATTACTAGCTCCAGGTCGCTTTCACCAAATCCATGTAAGTTTATTATAAGAAAAGTAGTTCTTGTAAAAAAATTAGCATCTTAGTTTCACCTGGTAACTATATAAAAGTTTGTGTATATAAGGCTTTGTTCATGGTTGAATTAATCTCAGTATAAATCCCTTCAATGTGCATTATTTGTGGTTGCGGTGTATCCAAGCTTGTAAGGAAAATGATCATTTAGGACGAATAACAATGGAGTATAGTAATTCGAGAAACACCTTCATCAACCTAAAACCAATCTGGAAATCTTCGTCATTCAGCATCAACAACAAAATTCGGATCTACAATACAAACGTAAAGTCAGTTCTTTTATACGGATCAGAAACTTGGCGGGCGGGTCACAAAGAATATTTCCAACAGCCTGTTGCAGACCAGACCTTTATCAACAACTGTCTTCACTGGCTCTATACTGAAGATCAGATGGCCGGCCCGGAAAGAATCACCAACAAGAAACTATGGGAAGGAACAAACAAAACAAGAACCAATCGCCAACCAACAAATATGCAGGAGAAAGTGGAGATGGATTGGACACTCGCTCGCTGAGGAGACCGCTGAATGACACCGCGCGCGCGTCAGGCCATTGCTCGAGTGGAACCCGAAAGGAAAGCGGCGAGTGGGACGTCAGTGCAAGGGTGACATGGAGGAGGTCGTGTAAAGAGGAGCTGAAAGAGTATGGACTAAAATGGATGCAGGTGAAAAGTACAGCAGAAGACATAAGCAAGTAGAGATGTGCAGTTGAAGCCCTATGTTCCACTAGGAACCCAAGGGAACAATAATAATAATAATAATTCGATTGTCATATAAATCGTGTCAAGGCTAAATGAAGAGCGCCATCGCGTCAACTACAGACGACACGGATGAGGATGTTAAAGCCAACCAGGATGGGTCTGCGAAAGCGAAACATATGTTCACTACCCTAAAATCAGTGTAGAGGTTTACAACGCTTACCACACTAATATCAATCGAGTTAGTGTTTCTATATGGTTCAGTAACTTGGCACACTCGTCACCAAAACCATTCCTTACAGGTTAAAAACATTCATTAACAGCAGTCTCTTTTCGCTTGATACTGGACTGAAAATGGCCATTCGTAAAGAATAAGCAAGAAACTCTGGGGAACCAGCCAAGAACCCATTGTTTAACAAATATGCAGAAGTAAGTGGAGATGGATTTGGCATACTTTGAAGAGATTGTTGATTGAGATAAGATGCCAGATCCCTAAGTGAAATGGGAATGGGAGGCTACGAGTGTGCTCTCCGAGTTTGATATAGAGAAAATGATTTAGGGAGGAAATGAATGCTAAAGGGCGATTGCAGCGCTACCTAAGGACGGCGGAAAACAGAATACAATGAAGAAGCCCTATGTTGCATTCGGAATCCTCGGAAATAATAGTAATGATAATAATAATAATGACCGTATTGGTTGAATATGTCAATCGTCTGCACCTTGAGTAGTAATCCAGTAAGCAAGTAATTTTTAATGTTGCCATCAGTAAGAATTCAGTTTATTTTTCATTATAAGAATCACTTACACTTGCATTAGTTAGACATATCAGTCAGTTTTGAATCTACCGCACAATGGTGTCTGTTCGGTCGGTTGCACTCAAAGCCTTACAGGAATATTTGTTAGCCTGTAGTGCTTCTCTTAAAACCAAATTACTAACCCTCTATCAGACTGTGGTGCCGTATGTATAATATATATATATATAGCAGTAATTCGTCAAATAGTAAATTTTCTTTTGCAATTGTATTCCGTTATCGCAAATCTAAGTTTTCCAACATTTACCTTGAACACTTGACTTTCAAACACTGAGTCGTGGGCTCGAATCGTGTTCGTAGAATGACTCAAGTGTGCAAGGACAACTGATGGATGATGAATTAATGAAATCGTATTATTTTTTACCATTTGGAATATTAATTACTGTTAAATATAACGTGTCTCATTTAAATATTGTTTCATAGGTGCTTCAATTGGGGATGCTAAGTTGAATGATTTATCGCAGCAGTCAGCTGCTGCTTCTGCTCCACCACCACCGCCACCTCCTCCCCCTCCTCCTCCACCACCTCTACCACCGGCATTAACAACTAATATTGCTGGATCGAAGACTTTGCGACACACTTTGAGCACAACCAGTAAACCAGTGAATTCACAACCAACTGCAGATGTTTCAGATACTAGTGATTATGATAGTGTCGCTGAACCGGGCAGTTTAGATGCCCAGCTGCGTATGGCTAGACAACAACGTCTGCGGTCATCTTCAGTGGCTGCAGGTCCAAGTTCAGATTCATCTACTTCCAATGCTCCCCGTATTCCTGGTGTTGATATGATGACTGATCTCCAGCGTGTTTTAGCAGCACGTCGACGAGCTAAAGAAGCTGAAGAGGTTAGTTCAATAAATTAAAAAAAAAGTTTAACATAATATCACTGTTTGCAAAATTGTGTTGCTTAGACGTTCATTACACTACTTGTCCTTTCAATAATTATAAAAAATAATCATAAAAGTTTTTTTTGCTTACATCAAATAAAATTACTCCAATTTGACTGCTTGCATGTTGTTTCCTTTCATGCAATCTTGAAGAAAATGCACTGGTTATACCGTTTTAGTGTCGAACTTGAAAAATTCGGTTATTTGTAATGAACCTGTTTGTTTTAAGCATCTTCCGATCTCTAAGAAGGTTCAATGTGCATTTTATAGTGGAATAGGAGACTTGGTCGCATAGTGCTTTTTTTCAAGTTTCAAATATGTCATTTATGAATATAATTATTAGTTTGTTAAAATTATGAATCATTGGATTTCAGTTACCTGGCCATGCCCCATACACTGCTTGAGGGCTGATGATAATACATAGTGGTTTAGGCTAATTTAGGCGGAGCGGGTTTCTGACCATTGAACGTCATCGAGTGGAAGTCAGATGCATAAACAGATCAGTTGAAATTCGTAATCAGATTATATCGGATCACGAAGATCCGGTATTCAATTCACAACAGTCATAGATGCGTCACATTACTACATTACTGTATGCGCCGTTATTATAGCATCATATACAACAACATGTAACACTTCAGTGCAAACGACGCTTTCAATATTCTGTTAGTTTTTCCCAGTATTACAGCTTTACAGTGTTTGTTTCATTGTATGCTGTCGCATTTTTCTCATTTCTGGTTGCTTCACTAAGCATTAGATATTTCTAATTTAATATCATATATGACCTACATATATATAAAATGATTGTCTTGTCTGGATTTTTATCCCTTTTCTCTATTGATTATTTGTAGCGTTATTATTGGTCAAACTAAGTCAAGTGATTCTTACTTATATGTATATGCATTCAGTCATTCTAATATGTAGTCCAACTATACTCATCCTATTCTAGGCCAGTCTATTAAAATATTCGATCTACCTTTATCTTACGGAGCATATATATATATATAGTGAGACGCACGCCAGTTGTCGGGTTTTTTTGTTTCCCAATTTGTACGGCAGATGTTGGTGTGTGTCAAAGACAATGAATAATATACGAACAAGACTAAGAATAATACTGAAGTTGGGTTGACAAATGCCCTAGGGTGGAATAGGATGCTTATTTATATATAACACTGAGACTTTTTCTGAAAATATGTCTATATTACTGTATTGCCTATCAGTAATATTTACCGTAGAAAGGTTAGCCATACCCAGTTATCAAGCATAACATATTATTCCATATTGAATAATGATAATATTGTTTTGATGCAGTGGTAGAATGATATAAGTGTCTGAACTTTGCCTGCTGAGACTGCGACATATAGTAAAACGGCCTACTAATAATTGTCTTGACTGTGAGGGTTTTTTGTCTGTAGGTAAGTAGGGAAAGGCATTGAATGCTTCTACTACACACAACGTTCAAATAGTAAGCTATTGGATCGGGTCCCAGTAGCTTAATGGTGTACGAGCTGTCCTTGCAACCAGAAGGTTCTGGGTTCGAACCCCGGTGGATGCGTACTGCTGAGGTGGAGTCCCAAACTAGGACGAAACAGCTGTCCAGTACTCCCAGCTGGTTTTCCAATGGTTCCTTAACTGATGTCAGCTCATCATGAGATCCTGTAACAGTTTTTTTTATTTTTAAAATGAGTAGTTAGCATAAGGTGTTCAACTAACATATATATATATATAAAGCTGTGCAATCTTTCACTGTTTCATTTCCGGCGTGGTTTCAAAAACGCTTGTGTTTCACCTATTAACAGTCAGTGTTTGATAGTTGTATGTTGGGCAGATTTTTTTACGACTGACTGTAAAATCGGTGTAAAACTACTTTACACAAAAGTTCTAATCGATACAAATTAAGAAAAAGGAAAGTGAGTGATAGCATAATAGAAAAAAATAAGTATGACGGCGAAAAATAATCAGGACTTTTCAAAATCCGAAAGAGCATAAGGATTGAGTACATGTGGAACTTTGTTAACAGCTTTAAACCATGTTACGAAAAGTCCCCAGCAATTGATTCTTAGCTTCCCGAGGACGCTAGTCCTTCGGTCGACATCCGCATCCCTGGCTCAGTATAATCAGTCAATGATGACATGTTTTCGTCCATCCAACACTAATTCTTTTCATTGTGATGTGTTCTCACCTGCTAATACACACCAAGGAATTCATTGTTTTGGCATGCATATTAGGTGTTCTGATCACCTCAGTCTGTTAACACCACCGGACGACTTAACCTCTTTAACTATATATATATATATAGATTGATTCATTATTACACACCGTGGTGCGTTTCAATAGATCAACTTACAATCTAAAATGTAGAATTGTTTTTTGAGATCATTTTTCTCATACTCTCTCCTAGACGTGAACTATGAGACATGGAATTGCTGTGCGGCATGTACGCTTTTTGATGATACCTGTGAGGACATCACTGTTACTTCTATCAATTATTTATGCCTAAATACTTTTGATTTAATAAAATAGATTCCGGAAATTTTTATTTAATCCTAGATATTTTTCAAAAGTTCCAATATTTAAGTGTAATTTTATGCAACATAAAGTGAACCATGTTTTTATGAGTGTAGGTTGACATATGTGTGTTTTTATTCTGGATTCCAAAGATATGACGACTATTCATCAGAGGAAATTCGAAACAGAAACGTAATAATAAAGAGTTTAGTTATCTTATAGCGAGAACGTGAAAACGTTGGGAATTCCAAAATGAATTATGATTTTCAAGTATCAATTTTTGCTGAAAAAATGCAGTCTTCTAAACACCTTGAGCTGCAATCTACGAATGTTTGGCATGCGATTCGCTCCCGCCAAATGCAAGATGATGTTACAGGACTGGACTACAGTGACTCCTAGTTTAGAAATAGGAAGTGAAGTGTTAGAGCACGTTGACCGCTTCACTTATTTGGGAAGTTCCATCAGTCAGCACAACGGGTTGATCTCCGACGAAATTTCAGCACGGATACAGACGGTTAGTTTCGCATATGCCAGTTTACGCCGTCTCTGGCATAGACGTGATATCCAGCTAACTATCGGCCATAGGGAGAATGTACTGCTCATCAGTCCGCTCCATCCTCCTTTATGGCTGTGAGCGAGACATGGCCATTGAGAGTGGAAGACATGAAAAGATTAGTTGTCTTCGATCATAGGTGCCTGCGCTCTATCTCCTGTGAGAAGTGGTATAATAAGTTGAGCAGTATTAAGGTTAGGCGTCGCGTGCTAGGTAAAGAGGGAGGGGAAATCAATCGACGAGGCTGTGAAATTACATCGACTGAGGATGGTTAGGGCATGTGTTACGTATTCCCAGTCATCGCCTTCCTCGACTGACGGGCAATGTTATCTGACATAAGATCCGTCAGGCTGGAAAAGAGCTAGAGGCGATCAAACCAAAACATGGCCTCATCAGTCAATAATATCCACAACAGTTAGTTTAAGTCAGCCAGTCACGTAGGGAGGTGTAGACTGGCCTCCTGGTTGGTGTCCTCGGGACGGTAAAAACCAATGTTTGGAGACAATTGGTGACATGGCTCAAAATCGTTCTCGATGGCTTGTGCAGATGCATCCACTCCTTGTGACTTTTGATTTCCAATGAAACTATATTGTTCTTCATTACTACTATTCCTTTTGTGTCATATCCCTGTTTACTCTCTCTAATATGCATTTTTTCTACTTTCTTGTGTTGCTTTGTGTTCTACAAGGAGGGAGTGTGACGACTTGAACTGGTGCACATCGGTGCAAAGTTCTATGTCGAAAATAGACAGACAGACATATCAATTTTTGCGGATCTGATTGATTTCAAGTTAGCGTACTGACCAAAGATAGTTGTATTAAACACGAGGATAATAACATGAGAAGCAAGGAAATAATACACAATGGTGATTGCAGTTAATAAGGCAGAAGATATTAACATGATTGATCAAACTGATTATCATCTCCTCTAGGTAGAGGCCGGCCTCCACGATTTCAAGCACCTTTCTGTTTGCTTGTCTGCTGAGAACAACGAATGACATGGCAACAGCATCGTGTCCGCAGTTTATTAGACACTTTTCTATGGAATCTTCTATGAGCTTGATTTTAATCTTTTTCAATCACTTGAACAATTGCTGAACGATGTGATTAAACAGTTGCCTTTCTGTAAGACTTATGTATTTGCTTCCAAATATACATTCAAAGTGATATATGCAGTGTCGAAGATTGACGACAGGTCTTTCCTAGATGGCTGAAACACCCACTTGGTGGGGATTAGGACTACGAATTTTGCAGCTAAATAACTTCTTCTTTTAGCCTTATAAAGTCTTTGTTTGACTACTTGTACTCCACCTCCTTTATAAATGGGTAAACCGATATATACAGCCTTCTTTGAAGAGCTGAGTCCTACTGAAATTTGACAAATTCATTAGATAGGTCTAACTTAATTCACATTTATTGGGTTGCTTTAGATGCGTGTCGGGAAATAAATGTTTCCAAAAGTGGATATCTTGAGATAGCTATATGTTGTATCCAACCCAAATCATATAAATTTAGTGAAATCATACAGAAGTAATTCAATTAGAATTGCTTGATGACGTCATCACCACCGAATCATGCGCTACGCTTAGTAGTGACTCACTGTCTACCTTAATTAGCTAATCTTTTTGTTTGAATATAATTATGTTGTAAAAAGTTCAAAGCTAAGGGCAAAATTGCTTTGAAATCCATGAAGCTTTTTTATTGTTGGTCCTAATCATCCAAAGTAATGTCAACTTCCTGGTTATATTCAGTATGTAGACCATATATTTCGAAATCGATTGTCATAGTTAGCAGATTTGTCTTTTTATAAATGAATGTATTTTTACTAGTTTCCGTTATCGCATTTACATACCCTATTAGTGAAGCATCTGTAACATAATGCTTCTTTCATTTCTCAC